GAATCTAGTTGAAAGTACTTCAGGCACAAACCACAAGTGATCATATGCTTATAAGATGAGCTCTCAAACTTGGGGGTGTGAGGGGGTTGGAGATCTATTTGGTAAGATATTAATGATGGTCAACATTGTTTTTTTTTTTTCCTTTTTGCTTCTCTTATTAATCTTTTGGCAGGTTGAGGAGGCTATTGTATAACTAAGTTAGTGTTTAGAGAGCATTTTATATGTTTCTTTTTTTTTGTGCCTCTCTTTATTCTTAGGCCTTATTATTGTAATATTGTACAACAATACCTATTGTCGGCTTATATTATCTACTTTATTAAATAAACCCTTTTTTATCTAGCAAAAAAAATGTACTTTAAGTTTTTAATCAATAATTATCTATCATATCATCCATGAATATATACTTTAGAATGACTATTATTTATAAAATATTATTTGTGAGATAAATCAAATATTCAAAAAATGGTATAACACAAAACACACACAACATGTATATATATATTATATTTAAGGAAAATGCATCAATCCATTAATTAAATAGGATTTGAACCATTTTAAGCAAGCAAAGAGACTGAAGAAACACTTAGCTCCTTTATATAAAAAGATTGTTCAGATAAAAATAGCACTTCTGTAAACAAAATATAAGCTACCTAATTACATAATCTAGTAATCTAATACCACATAAAGGAAGAGAAACATGACAACTTTGTAATAGATTCCATAACTAACATATCTCCCTTAAGCTTGTACTTATGTAATCTCAACATATAGAGGCGTATATATTATGCTTATTTATACAAATACAACTTTTACCCATCTTGTCCCTATAAACCATTCCTACTCCCATTAACCCCTCTTTGCCTAAAGATGTATTAATCAGGGGGAGTTCCCATAGAGGATTCATGATTTCATTATTATTCATTTTTATTAACCCATTATGAATATCCATATAACTCTCCATCTCATTTATTATGGAGCATGAAACATAGATATGAGATAACAATAAGTACAATCCTTGGGATAACTATTTATAATATGCTACCCCTCTTGATTTGAAAGTCAAAAAGCACTCGCACTTCAAACACAGTGTGCTTATTCACACCTTATAAATAGATGTACTATGGATTCCTCCTCTATAACACACACCATTACGTCAATTCCCTTTTTAACCAATCTTTGCTTCATATGTAAAACATCCCTACACAATTGTCAAAACCATATTTGACAAGTAATATATAAACCATCTGGGTGTAATTATATATATATATATATATGCATTATGCTCAATTGAGTAGGTGAAATTTGTTAATAATCAAACATATAATTGCATCCATTATTTATGAAAAATATTTAATTTTTATGTTAACAATAAAGATGTAAACTAGGAATATTTTAATTTTTATATTGACAATGATTAGATAATGGCACTAAATTAGTATGGATAAGTTAAACAATGATGTTAATATTTAAAATTGATCTTCGACAAAATAGTCTCTATGATGTTGCAAACTATTACAAGAGTTACAAAATGATTCCAGTTCAATTGCAAATACATAATCATGTTAAATATATAGATCTTTTGATGAGAATAAGTTATTATAATCTAACTGATACTAATTAAACCAAAAGGTAGTCATCACACAGATTGCATTACTTGATAATTAACTATAATATAATATGCACAATATAAAGATGGTTATGAACAACCAAAATTTGTAGGTTCTAACTAAATAATATATATAATGTACAGAAATTAAATGATACATATAATACATATAATACATATAATTCTTAATTATTAATTTTAACTATTATACCATACATGTAATTCCCTATGCATCACCAGAATAATAGAAAAAGTTATTCTAGATTATTTGATACAGTATACGCATACACACATATATACTAGCCATGCAGACAATCATTTGAACAAATTTAGAACGCTATATAAATTAAACAAGTGACAAATATATCTGGCCGGTTTTTATTTTTTTAATTTTATTTCTTTTTCTGTATAGACAACACAAACTCTCTTTACATAAATTAATGCTTTACCAGTTATTGCTAAATTAGCAATTCTTATAAATGTTAAAGAGTTTCAGACAACTCTGTTTCAATACAGCTGCAAAGTGTTTGTACCAATAAAACAAGTTATACAACTTTTAATAGTTAAAAGATGAACAGTGCTAATCGTTATACATATATATATATATATATATATATTCACAGATTTCTGCAAAAAAATTAAGTTTCTTATTGCCTTTAATCTTAATGAATTAGATACAATCCACTCTCCTATTTTATTTTTTTTTAAGAAAATAAAGAGGATATATCATTATATCTATATGAATAGATATTACTATATGAAGGATTAATCACCTAAATGCTCCTCAAGATGGAATTCTTGACAGTCTCTTGTTCATCAATATATATATATATATATATGTATATATATATATATATGTATGTATATTGAGCGTACTGCGAAGAAAGGGAACCGAGCATGCTTAATATTCATACAGGGAAGATGAAGGCCATATAGAAAATTAAATATTTGATTAACTCTAATAAAATGCAGCCTAGAAAGGGAAATATTGGCAGCATATTCTTAAGGTAATGCGTTTCAAGGAATCAAAAGCAATTCTCTAAAGATAAGCAAAAAAAAATTTTAATTATCAACTTGTTTCATGGATTGGCTGTTATCAACACTGTTCATTAGGGTTTAATTAATTGGAAGCAAGGCCAGCATTTTCAAATGTCCAACCTATCTACATATATATATATATAAACACACGTACAGATAGATTCCCAGTGGAGTATAAAGTAAGTTTTTAACATACGTACATACATATGCATATATTTTCAATATTTAAGTAGTCCACTAACTTCATCTATCAATCCATCATCCAGAACATGTTGATCACTAATATTAAAACTAGTTTAATTGATTTCTCTAATTGATATTCTTAGCGAAAAGCCTTAGACCCTACTGACTAGTGCTTGAAGGGTTTACAATAAATTTAGTCTCCACTATAGTTAGCATTAATTAATTCTACAGATCTATATACACATACACATATCAAAACGCAGAAACTGATTTATCATCATCTTTTTGCAAAAGCCTTTCATCACTACATTATCTACATTAGACTAGGGTCTGGATTCTGGAAAGGAAAGAAAATTGTGATAGTACGTGTGTGTGTGTATGTTTGTATATATATATGAATAAATAATTATTAACATAACATTCTTAGTTAAGATATATTGTAATTAATTTTGGGTCAAATAGAATATGAGCTGACCTTACAAACGAATAGAACGGCAACTGAAAAGAATGCTTGACAACCTAGCAAGTGTATTACAAAAACGGCTCAAATAATTTAGTGTGTTTGATGTAATTCAACTTTTAAATTAATTGAAGCTCATACGCAATGACCTATTAAATAATTAAACAAAAAAAAGTTAGTATAAATTAAAAAAGTATACAAAAAAAAAAGTTCTTTTTTTCAAATCAACATATTAAATTTATATACAGATAGAGATACAGACATTATGAGCTACTCTAATATAGCAGATTAATTAACAAATGTGATTAATACAATTTAAATTTATAATTTTTGACAAAGATTTAAAACAAATTAATTATCACATTCAATAATTACTTGCATACTCATATTTTAAGCAGCAGGATGACTTTAATGATTTATTACCATTATGTAATTGAAGGAGATTAAAAATTTGATTGTGATAAACTGCTTCAGTATGAGAGGCAATCATCCCTGAAGAGGTAAATGAAAATATTTTTAATTTTACAAAAAAATCATGGTTATAAATGTATGTGTTCATAGAAATATATGTAGGCGGATTTGTACTTATGATATCAAATATAAACAAAAAAAAAATAATAAGCTTCTTGAAAAATCCTAAATACATTTAGAAATTTTTTTAACTTGATGCTAATTCTCATTATCACCTTTTAATCATTAGCAAAGTTTATATGTTTGTGATAATGATATATGACTATAAACACATGTAAATGAACTTAGATAAAACCTTTTTTAAAAAAATCTTATCTAATGGAGCCATTTGTGGCATGGCTGAGGAACCATATGTAATGAAGAATATATAAACATAAACACAACTCTGTTATATCATGCTGAGGAAGAAAAAGGTTATTGAACTCCATGATAAAGATAGAAAACTTATTTTCTCTGTAACTGTGCTTAGTTTGTCACAGAAAACAAAAACTATTGTAGGGTGTTCAAAGAGAAATTTAATTAATTAATGGGTATATGTCTCTGAAAGTGTGCGTGCGTACCGGGAGTAGGTAAATGGTCTTATTGATGGAGATTAAGATGGTGGGTCTGATCATCAGTTGAAGAGAATTTGAGAAGAAAAAACAAAGTTGGAGCTTCATTAATTTTTATAATATGTGTATATGTGTGTGTGTATATATATATGTAGTAACTTGTGAGGTCGCTAACATCAAGAATGTCAGTTTGGAGATTAATTTGCAAGGGAAAATATGTATATAAAACTAGTCAAAAAAATCTTGCTTTGTGTCATAAAATTTTTTACACTATCTGTATTTATTACCTCCTGAAAACAATGCAAAAGAGAAGACACTCCCATCTTAACCAGTACTTGAAAAATCTTCAACTCATCTTAACTCCTTACCAGACATTGAGGAGAAAACCCTAGTTGATTTCTTTAACACACACACATATATATACATATACTTAATATTAATGTATATAGTTTTAACTACAAGTAGTTCATTAGCCATTAGTGGAAGTGAGATATAAAATAAAGCATACGATGATGAAAACCATTTCCCCCATAACATTAATCAAGATGGTAGCTGTCAATATTAGTTTCCTCCATGAACAAGAAGCCTATTTCAATAAATTAGTCCTAAGAAAAGAAAACCCGGAAAAAAGAAAAAATTAAGTAGTATACTAAAGTTAACAACAGCAGTAAATAGAATTTGGCTAGAGTGAACAAGTTAGACCTAATCTGAGGAGTCTCTTAGTTCAAGTTCTCACCGCGGATTAAATTCTAATGAATCTTTTCGTTTTTAAAAAACAGAAGAGGCAGAAGTAGAAGAAGATGAAGAATTAAAATCAACAAGATATGATAACTTGTTCTGACCTTTTACGAATCCAACAATCTCTCACACAATCCAGAAGTAAATCAAGTTCAATTATCAGAATGGTAACTGCACGTTTGGAGGCATATTCAGCGGCAAATTAAAGAAGGGAAGACCCCCACCTTGACCACTTCCTGCAGCCTCCGCAAACATGGAGTTCCCGCCACCGCTTCCGCCGCTGCCACTTCCGCCGCCGCCGCCACCGCCGCTCTGCATCTGCAGCTGGTCGTCTTCTTCCAACGGGAGTCTCTCGTATGCCACATTAGTAAAAGATGCCGCGATGACTATGACTGGCCCAGCAGCCATAAGCTCGCCGACTACGTTGCCTCCCACCACTTGGCCCTGCCCGCCAGCAAGAAATATGGTCAAGCTGGTGGCCCCAGGGGGAGCTGGCGGCGGAAGAAAGGAACCAGAAAGGGAAAGTATCTCGAATCTTCCATGAAGCGTAACGATCGCTCCAGCTGCAGCTGGTTGCCTGATGCTCACGTTCGTCACCGTACCGCTCCCGCTCAGTACGCATATTCCACGCTGCCGCCTGCGGGCGTAGTTAGCAACGCAGTCGAACACGTCGCAGCCGTTTCCAACTTCAAGAATGTGGGCACGGAGGGTGTTAGCGCTCTCGCGCGTTATGATTACTGGAGGCTTTGGTTTGTTCTTCGAACCAGGCGGTCTACCTCGTGGGCGACGCGCAACGAGGTCTCCCGAACCGGAGTTGGCACCTTGGTGGGAAGCTCCGTCGTCGGAGAACTGACCGCCGGTGGGTCCTCCTCCAGCTTCTTGGTGATCTTCAAGGTCAGGTTGGTGAAGGTCTGGTCTGTGGAGTTGATGAACGTAGCGAGAAGCAGTGCCTAGATCAAGACCGGCCATGCCAACATCAAAAGCAGGAAACAGGAAATTAAAGAAGAGAAAAAAAAATATATTAAGGATTAAAATAAAGAGATTAAAATTAAACTGTTTGAAAGAGTTTGTTTATTGTGAGAAAAATTATAAAGAAGAGGAAAAAGAAAAGGAAAGGTAGGCTCCGGGACTCGAAGAATAATAGATTTTAAAAGAGGAGGAGAGAGAAAGAAAAAGGGGGAAAGAAAAAAAAAATTAAGAAGAAGAAGATGATGGAAGGAGAAAACGCAGAGTGAAAGAGAAGGTAAGGAGGAGGAAGGCGAGGGGGACAAAAACTCAAGACGCAGTCATTTCCCTTACCACGAAAGCTTAAATATATAAATTTTATATTCATTCCTCCTATTTATATATTTATTTTACTTGTACAAACCAAATTGGTGATTGCAAACTCCACTCGCTTTTGAGGCCGTGTGTAGCACGCAACCATCCCTAAAATATTTTGTTGGTTTCTTCCTTGTTTACTTTTTTTTTTTTTTAATTAATTATAAAGCCAAATTTAATTGAAAAAGTTACATTATATTTTTCATATTTAAATGATTGATTCCATGTCTCAAGTGAAGTTCTTTAGAGATACATTCATAAATCCTACTTCTTAAATGAAGTTTCTTTTTCAACTCAAGTTTGTTTTGAGCACAAAGAGATGGAGATTAATGAAATAAAAATGAGGGTGATGGAATAAAAAATATAACAAAAATTAAATTATATTATCTTATTTGGATAGAGTAATATTTAATATAATAGTAAAATATTTTATTATTTCGCATAAAAAGTAAAATAAAGGAAATTTGAGAGTTAAAATAATGTTTAAAAGAATAATATTCCTAAGGGATATGAAAAAACACACAAAAAAAACTAGTATTTAAACAAATAAATGAATTCGCGTTTATATTCAATATATATCTTCTGTGTTTGAAAAAAAAAATTATCTTTCAAATAAAAGTAGAGTAAAAATATTTATTTTCATTCTCATTTTCTTCCATTATTAAAATCATTTTGAAACAAAGAAAAATTAATTTATTATAAAATTTTATGTTCCATTTTATCTTTTGTCTCTCTTTAACATACCAAAACTACAAAAACTATTAATGAATATATTTTCTTTGATTCAAGCTTTCAATGGATTTAAAGCTCAACCTTAAACAAGAAAATTATTGAAAATATATCTTTTGACCTTTGCGTATACATCAAGTTACACCATACATTTTTAGTTTTATCAATGTGAATCTTAAACTATTATAATATTTTTAATTACATGTTACATTTATAATTTATGTTATCATTACTGACACTTGTCTTATCTTACAGAAGCAATATAATTCTTAAGTTACATTTAACATTTTTGTCTTTCCTAAACTATAATGTTATATATTATATTTTCACCATAATGTTTTATATAAAGTATATATAAATTTAGATAATTAAAATTAAGAACCATTATACTAAATGGATAGTATAAGAAAAATTATAAAGCCTCCATAATAGCCAGAAATCTTGCTACATTGTAAATACTTTCAAAAAGTGTATATTCATTAATACTGCATAATCGTCATAGAATATTTTTGCTTCTAAATTGAAGTAGTTTTCTTCTAAAAGAGTCATTGAGATCTAACTTTTACATATTGGTATAGAGTATTAACTTTTTTTAGGAGGAAATAATGCAGTTAAAGAGTAGTACTTTACTAATAGAATACGATAATCAAGTTTTATGAAGAGATGAATGTGAATGCTTCTTGTCATCCTTATTTCAACAACTCACTACCATAGATTATGACATTGTTATTAAACGCCCTAAGAAGCATATACATATATATAGATATCTATCCATAGTTACACACTATGTGTGTGTGTGCCTTTACTTTGTTAATATGCAATAACATACAAAGATCTTACTTTTAGTAATAGTAAAGTTTGGTTGATTGATAATATAGGAAGTGCTTTTCTTGTTTATTTAATAAAGTTTATTCATACTTTTTATTATGATAAAACTAAGTCTTTGTCAAGGTAGAAAACTCTTCATTTTCACATGTGTGTTTAACTCTAATTATGTAAATTTAGGTGTAAAGATGGAAAGAAAACTTTCATCCAACAAGAAAACTTAAACTTCACCTACTTTCATCAAGACCAAAACCCACACAAAAAACGACTCACTAATTCTAATTCCCCATATTGACTAAATAACTATAAAAAAATACTAAGGAAAAAAATTCCCTCTTAACCCACCACTAAGAAAAACAAGATGACTAATGATGTTAAAACATATGTTTTAACCTTTTTATGTTATACATAAAAGCTATACATTCCAAAAGAAATGACATTGAGCACAAATTATCTATACTTTCATAATGCTCTAAAAGACATCTATTGTAAATATAAATTTATAGTGACACTATTGTAATGATCATAAAATCAAGATTTTGCACCAAAGCACCTACTAAACAAAAACCTTGACGTTGGAAGTTTAATTTTAAAACCTTTGAATTTAGTGGAAACAATATCGTCTTTATCCAAAGAAACTAGAACTTTTAAAAGATTTAATTGAAAAGTTAACTATTGTGTTTAACTTTCTACACTAGGTGATTCGAGTTTTCTTCATTACAGAAAATAAAATTAATGATAGTTTATAAACTTCTCAAATTCTAATATATCACTCAAAAGTATCTGTACTTAAATAAACATTTTAATACTGAGAAATGCACTCCCAACACCTCAACTTGCTTGCGTGAGCATTCTTAATCCTAAAAGAATGAAAAATTGTTGAAAAGCTCTCTTAAATATCATATCACCAATCCAAACATTAGTTAAAAATTTTACTTTCTTTTTTTATTATCCACACAAATTCAAAAGTTATAACTAGTTAATGATTTGTTTAAAGTTATAATATTCCCACAATCAACAATTCTTATAAATAATAATGATACCTCTTGGGACTTATGCGTGAGGACATAAATCCCATATCTAAACCTGTATATCATTTTAATAATGGCCAATTAGTCATATTTTAAATATTTATTAATCTTAAATCTATTAAATTCTCAGTTGATTAAATTGATTCTATATTAATATTATAATCTTTCAAGTTCTTAAAAATCCGCCTTAAAAAACTTCAAATGGCATACTCAATCTTCTTTACCACCCCAACAATGAATATCAATAAAGACATATAGGATGTTAGTAGTATAGATAGAACCACCTAATCACTACCCACCGTAGCCCTTCTATACAATAACATATATTTTAATAAAGCTAACTTAACTTAGTCCTTTTTGTTAATGGTTTCAAAATCACAATATAAAACAAGCAAGCACCAAAAAGTAAATCTAAATAAATAACTGAAAATTCAACAAACTAGCATATCAAATTCATAATCATCAACATAGTTGCACTTGAATCAACACCTTCATCAAGCGAATCTTATAATGTTACCATTTAGTCTTGAGCCTATATCAAAACATCTTAAAATTCTCCTATGACTTTTTAACTTATCTTTCTTTTATCCATAAAAAAATAAGTGTCAATAGACACTTATTAGAAACCAAGCTTTAATCTCCTTTTTTTTTTACTCCATCATGAAAAATATTCTCAAAAAGAAAAATTACATCTTCTTAAATAGAGACACAAGCTCTCCAAAAAAAAAAACACAATAAAGTATATATTGAATCACCTTAGAAGAAATAATTAAGTCCTTATTTTATAGAAACATGATATTTTTTTATGTCTCCAACTGATATATTCAATAAAGAAAAAGACATTTGACATGTCATATGGCACATTATCTAACATATGGTTTGATAAGTGGTAGAAGGTCAAGGAATACATGCTAACTAATTTGGTTAAATCTTCTTAACTATAACTAGTTATAAGAAAGTCATTAATACTCGAAACTATTCATCACAAGGTAATTATTATCAATGTTATGGTTGTACTACAATCATGATATTGTTACGGATGTGATGGTCACTACTATGAACCATTACTAGGCTCTTAACTTTGGGCATTATGAGATTACACTAAATCTAGATAAGGCAAATGTCAAATTTATACTCTACACTCTCAATCTTTATTTTCGTACTTCTTAAGCTTGCCTTCCTTTTCTTCTACTAACTTGACCATCGAAGTATCTCTCTAGGGAGAAAACTTGTGAATCGCTACTTATTATAAGATAAAAATATATGAAACCACTATGGTTATTAACCTAGTCTAGCCTAATTAAGCCTGCATAAATTCTAAACCAACACTTAGGAGACCAACCTACCACTCTCTCATAGTTTATCTCATATCATCCTTTACTTTGTCACCAACCTATATCAAAATCTTAAATAAAATACTCTTTGAGTCTAAGTTGACTTTGATTTTTCAAAAATACACATTTTCAGACATCTGTATTCATTTGGGGAAGACTTAGAGAATGTATCATTATTCTTAACACCCATAAATGCGTCTTTTGATGCAAATCAGTAAATAATTTTGATATGATAAAGGCATGTATTTCCCTTTATTACTCAAGTTGTAGGCCTTAGTGTTTTGTCTCTTCCTAAACCTGGTATTGTTTTTCATAAACATCCTTTCTTCTCAAGAAGGATTCACTTCATGTGCCTGAGTAGTACTCTATTTTATTTAATAACTTTTTTTTTAGTATATTCATCACGTTTTTATGATTTTATTACCTTTTTTCTTAAAAGAGATAAATGTCTTTAACTCACTCGTGGATTTATAAGATTTTATTTAACTTTTTTAGAATAGCCAATTATTTTAGTTCGTCCATAAAGACTATAATTTTTCATTCATTAAACGTAAGAGTTCTGAATTCCTTAAGCAATTAAGCTTTTGAAATTCAAATTTTTTTTTTCTTATATACAGTTATTTTTTAGATATCAATTATTAAAAATAATATACAAATTGATAAAGTAATTCGAGTATATACTTTAATTAAATGAGTACTGCATTATTTTACATCACTAACTAAAATTTGACATAATTTGTCATAAAATCTCATACTCCTCTAGTTTTTGTGAGTAGCATTAAAATTCTAGTATGATAAATGATAGTAAATACTTGATAATTTACGTTTTATTTTTTTTAATTTATTATTTATATCTTTTTTTGATTAATAAAAAATATTAATTCTGAATTTCGCGGAAAAAAAACTCTTTGGATC